CGGACACAGAGAGTTCGACCAGCACAGTTGGAGACGCATCTCTAACTGCAGACCAACATTTATGCAAATGGGGGCATACCCATTATCGTCCGTAGGTCTGCTACAACAATTACATACCAGACCCGTCTTTGAATTTTGTCAAGAATCTCGAGATATAGAGTAGGATTACTAGACCAGATAGTGTATCTACTAACCTCCCCACGCGATCAGGTGTGGAACAAGACCGAATTTAATTTGGGGTATTCAAGCCCGTCGGCTAAGCCAAAAATTCCCGTAGAACCCGTGTAAAACGGCTTCGGGTATCTGTTTCCCGAGACGAGACCCTGCCCTTCGGCATAGACTCGTCTGGGGATCCTCTCTGCCCGGAGACAGAGAGTTTGACCAGCACAGCTGGAGGATATCTACCAACCGACCCAAGCAATCAGATGTGGCACAAGGCCGAAGTTAATGTAGGGTTTCCGAGCTCGTAAGTCAGACAAAAATTCCCATAGAACCCGTGTAAAACGGCGTCGGGTAGCTGTTTCCTGAGACAAGACTCTGCCCTTCGACATAGCCTCGTCTGGGGATCCTCTCTGCCCTGAGGTAGAGAGTTTGACCAGCACAGCTTGAGACGAACTCTGACTGCAGAGCAACATTTATGTGAATGGGGGTATACCCATTATCCTCTGTATGTATACTACAACGATTACATAATAGACCCGTCTTTAAATTTTATCAAGAATCTCGAGATATAGAGGAGTGCTAGACCAGATATGGCAGCAACATTCAATCCATGGATTTATAAATGTGCAGGGTAGATTGTGACAAAGAAAATTGTCTTGCACGACACAGTTAACCAACTTTCCTAACAGTAGACCTGGCAATGAATCCAATATAATAACTCCATTTCCCGTCAGTGGAAATCGTGAGCCCAAGAAGGAGCAAAGAGCTGCTCTCTTGGAGTATAACATCAGCCATGCTGATGGCAGACGGAAAAGGTTATCTATGGTGATTAAATGAAAGCTTTGTTTTGGAGACATTAAAATGTACAAGCCATGTCTTGCCCCAGTTAACCACTGATTGGAGGTCCTTTTCGAGAGCAGTTGCCAGTTTGTCGGACTTGCTGGTGTAAATTGTTGTGTCATCAGATTTATTTTATTAATGCGTGTATCACTATTATTTTTAATCGTTTCACTGCTCTTATAACGACTGGAATAACTTTAAAATACCATATTATTAATAACAGGCATCCATTCATTTCGTGAGATAATGGTAACGCCTTTTTTATCAAAACTCAATCCTTTTGTGAGCAGTGTTTGGAGTGGCTTAACAGACCGATCTTTGCATTGCACTCTCTTCTGCAGGTATGACAGACGACGCTCAAATGTGAAATTAAGGCCTGAAACTGATCTCTCAGCTTCCTGTGTTGTTTTCTGATCCCCACTCAATGTTAGAGAACCCAGTCTACCTTGCTATTTAACTTTGGCGAGAAGAGATGGATTCATGCCTTTCCCGAAGCATTTAGTGCAGAGGGGTAATCAGACAAGTTAATTCTAGAGGGATCAGTCTATTACTTGATAACTATAGAAAACCGATCCCCCATTTTATGGCCAGTAGAGTTCAGATGGGGCATATAGTAATTCGCTTTTTCCCGCCCTCCAGGACTCTTCCTTGAACTACATGGCGCCAGCCGCTGCGTTCGTCTGTTCCCAGCTACCAGAGTCGATGTCTGTGAATTTCAGGTCCCTCTTGTAAATGTCCTTGAAACGTAGTGGAGGGTAGACTTCCGTGCGGTGTCCCGTGTCCAGTTCACTGTACTTGATGTCATTTGGTATACGGCGGTCATTCATTTGATGCCCGTGACCCATCCATGGAAGACGACGTTGACAGAGGAGAAAATGCATACTTCGGGAGTTTGTTTGCCACGGCACAGCAGTGTTGGTAACTTGTCTTACCATGTGATGCCGAGATTACGTCGTAGGTAGCGGAAATGAAAGCTTTCCGATGGCTACGACGTATCAACAACTTTATTATTATTATTATTATTATTATTATTATTATTTCCTTTGATTTCTGTTGTATATACATTTCCTTCCGAATCCCAATAAAAGAGCTAAGGTCAGAAATGGCTTCATGATATTTTTCACTGATCATTTAAAAAAAACCTTAGATCATACACATTTTGCATAGATAAAGCTGTTCCTAATGCGTGTGCCGTATTTATGAGTGCACTTTTTATTTCTGTAAAGCATGAACTACCGTGAATCTCTACAATGAGTCTATCGAATGTTTTTTTCCAATCAATCCGAGGGCTCCAACTACAACTGGAATTATTAATGTCCTCATATGACACAGTTTTGAAATTTCGATTTCAAGGTCCTTGTATTTTGATAACTTTTTGAAGATACATTAAAATCTGCAGGAAATGCTAAGAAAGCGCATTCTGTTCTTGTGGTCTTAGATCACATTATTATTATTATTATTTCATTTGATTTCTGTCGTAAACAACTTTTCTTTCCGAGTCCCAATAAAAGAGCTAAGGTCAGAAATGGCTTCATGACAGCTTTCACTGATAATTTTTTAAAAAATTAATATCACCTACATTTTACATGGATAAAGTTCTTCGTAATGTGTTAGGTGTAATTGTGAATACATTTATTTTGTATTTCTTTAAGGCTTTGCCTACTACCAGGAACCCCTTCAATGAGTCTATCAAAACCTTTCCAATCAACTGTCTCCAAATACAACTGTATTTATTGATATTCGCATATGACACATTTTTGATTTGGTTTGGTTTGGTTTGTTTTACGGCATATCAACCTCAATTGGGTTATTTAATGCCGACAAGATTTTTATTACTGGTAATTTTTTTTTTCAAAAATATGTTGTTGGTAATATCTTTTTCTCAAAAATGTATTACTGGTATTTTTTTTTTCAAAAATGTATTACTGGTAATATTTTTCTTTCCAAAAATGTATTGCTGATAAAAAAAATTTTCCAAAAAAGTATTGTTGGTAAACCTATTTTTATACTTTTATAGCGTTTTGACCCACATTTTTGAGATTCCCACTTCAAGATCCTTGTATTTTGATAGTTTTTTTTGAAGATCTTCAAATTTCCATTAAAATCTAAAGGGACTTCCATGTCACTTACTGTTTTAACCTAGAAAGGGTAACTGAATGAGGAATAACCAAAACGGAGGTTGGAAACGAAATGGTAATCTTTATAACATCAACAAAATACAATACTCGCCAGCAGCGTGAAAGAGGTAAACCATTGCTAGTGGTGGACGACTTAGACAGCATATTAACCCCACTTACAATAGTGTCCAACATATTCGTGAGGATTGGGGTATACCAATTAATGTTCATAAATACGGTATATAACAGTACATTCTGCTCTTGTAGTCTTTGATCACGATGTCTGGGCGATTAGCTTTCATTGTTCTGCCTGTGTGTATTGTAAAGTACGATAAAATTGTTACAGTTTCTGGGTCATGTTCATACCAGTTACTTGCAGTTTCCTTCCCTTAAAAGTTGCATATTTTCCAGTGCAGATATTTTCCCACACAATCGTGCCGAGTTTTATATTCGGTGGGTACAAACACTGTATAACCTGACACAAGATGGGTTTATTATTATTATTATTATTATTATTTAATAATTATATTAATAATGCTAATATATATTTATTAGATCATTTCAAAAGTTCGTGCCCGATTCTTCTTCTTTATGTGCCATGTTCTTCCAGGACGTAGGTGATCATGGCTCTCCACAATTCCCTGTTCTTCGTAGCTCTTAATAAATTTTGTCTTTCTGTTATCTCACATAAAGCTTGCTCGGTAATTTATGTGTTGTTTTCCTCTGACCCTCTTGTCTTCAATCTGTCGTGTGAGTATCAAATTTTCCTAGCCCTCTACAATTTCATGTCCTTTGTAGCTCTTAATAAAATTTATCTTTTGTTCCGTCATCCATTTACTCAAGCTCACTAGATGGTTTCCTCTACTGCTCTCCCTCTTGCCTTCAATCTGTCTTGTGAAATATCAAATATTCCAATTCCGTTTTTTCCTCATTATGTACCTTAGAAATTTCTACTGTCTCTTCCTGAAAAAATTAAAAACAAATTCAAATCGGGCACGAACTTTTGCAAATATTCAATAGTAATGATGTCAACTCGAAAGTTTTTAAAATTCTTCGTGTTTCCAAATGGTCTAACTTTGGTCGCCTCTTCAGGACCGCTGCTGCTGTTGCGGCTGCTGCTGTTGCGGCTGCTGCTGCTGCTGCGGCTGCTGCTGCTGCTGCGGCTGCTGCTTGAGTTGTATTTCTCTTGATTCGCTGCTTAATGCAAACCCTTACTAGGTCTTTTACCTGAGACATGGAATAGATAAAGCTTTTAGGGTGTTATTGAAGGATTTTATAAGTAAGTAAGCAGTGCCTATTAATGCAATGTTTTGCATTTAACCTAAAGGAGGGTTTCCTGTGTTATTCTTATTCTATCTCTCAATATTCTTCTTAATCATAACTAATAGACTAATGGCTATGTTTAAATGCTGTAATTTTGCAATATCTATTCCTATGTACTTGAAGAGTTTATCAAATTCTTTTGCTGAAATATTTTCCTCAGACTGAATGTCGATTAGAAAGCATTTACGATTTTGAAGAATTTTATGACAGACAATATCTGATGTGTTCGCTTGTGCAAAGCGATTGGTATGTAGGTAGGTAGGTAGGTAGGTAGGTTGAAGTCCCTGATAGGTTGGTTGTTTTTGTTTAGCGGCATATCAATCTCCATGGGTTATTTGATGCCGAAATCTAAATATTTAGTACACATTTTTTGAGATAATAATAGTTTTGGTGATACAAGTATTACTATTTAACCTATAGCTGGTCGGTGGGGGGGAGAAGAAGATTCATACCTTCCTCAACGGTATTTGCGCGTAAGTAAATTTAACGAACCCCACTGGAATTGGAACTCGGTTAACAATTCCAAGCCCTTATCATTACACCACCTGCACATCCAAGATTACAGCGCTTGGTATTCCCAAGCAGTCACCCATCTAAGTACTGACCAGGCTCGACATTGCTTCTTCGGTTATCGTACGAGAAGCAGTGTTTCAATTTAATATGGCCGTAAGCCTGAGGTCCCAGAGTATGTTCGTTATTCCTAGTGCTCTTATAACTACTAGAATAATGGTTGCGATTAGACGCCACATTCTTCTTCTTATTATTATTATTATTATTAGTAGTAGTAGTAGTAGTAGTAGTAGTAGTAATAGTAGTAGTAGTAGTATTTATTTTTGCTTTGTGTAGTACGAGTTGCTGACAAGTCTCAACCAGAGAACTCAAGAGAATTTTTTATCAGAAGGTGCAAACAGATGAGGTGCCAGGCAATTAGAGAGAAAAATATGATGATGCTGATGAGTAGTAGTAATAGTAGTGATATGACATCGGAATCCCATGGATGAAACATGCGATTAACAAGGAAGATTTAAGGAAGATGAAAACAGAAAGGACGCTTATACTTAGAATCAGACAGACGCAGATTAAATTTCTGGGATACATAGCGAGGAAAGAGGGCTTCGAGAATTTGACACTCACAAGACATATTGAAGGCAAGCGGGACGGAGGGACAGTTCGAGTAACATATGTAGCGAACTTGTGCAAATGGATGACAAGACAGAAACTGTGGGGTGGATAATAAGGGAAAAAATATTCCTAAGAAGACCAACAAAGGCTGGGAAGTTCGGGAGGGCCATGATCACCTCACAAGGGACGTAAAAGAAGAATTATACTACTGCTGTTAGTATTTAATAACGGAAAATTATAACCAGAAAAATTCGTACAAATAAATGTCTTAGTAGTAGTAGTAGTAGTAGTAGTATTAGCAGCAGTAGTAGTAGTAGTAGTAGTAGTAGTAGTAATTAGATAAAAAGGGGAATCATATTCTTGTGATAAAAACAAATAAATTAATTAAAAATAATGAAGAGGAGGTGAAGCGATCAAAGTAATTAGTTGTTCTAATTATAGATGCCTCCCGCCCTCCCCTAGATAAGGGGATTGCAAGAGTTTTCAGATAAAAAAAAAAAACTGATGTCGGATGTGGAAGAGAAGTTAGGAGAAGAGAAACAGAATAGAATTGATCCTCTCGGCATGTGGAAAGTGGAGGGGAGGAAGGAAGTTGGGGAAATGGAAGTTGTGGGTGAGACGGAAGGAGACGGAAGAGATCAATAAGAGATTCGATGTCGGCAACTAAGCGACACCAGATAAAAAAATTTGAAATGTCAATCATTCCTTTTTTTTTCTTTGATTACTTGTCACAAGTTGACAAAAAAGAAAAGAAAATGGCGACTTCCATGCTTATTTATTCCTTTGTATTCATTTCTTTCTCTCTTTTAGTCTGGTTAAGTCTCTCACTTTTCCACCTCTTTCTTCGTTCTCCACACTTTTTTCCCGCCCAAAGCAACTTACAAGAATATTCATTTTTATGCTTTTTTTTCCTGTATTTTTCGTTCTGTCTTCAATTTTGACACTATTTTTTTACCATTCTTTGTTATGCCTCACAAAATATATACGCATTTTGAATTTTTATGACTACTATATACATGGAGATTTATCTAAGTTTCATAATTCAAATAAAAATAAAAAGCAACCGTGGAATCAATTCATTTATTGCAAATTAGATTAAAAATGCCGGCATTTAAGCTAGATCCCACGGAGGGCTATTGATTAGGCCTTCATCAGAATAGGTAGGGAGGATTAGATGCGATAGGCAACAATAAACTACAGGAGAACTCAAAATTGTTCGCTGCTTTTAAGTATTCCATTAATATTTAAGCTTACCTTTTAAAAGTTCAACGATAATTCTTCTACTGTCACTTAATTTAAAGACAATTTGATGTATGTAGGTCCTTACTTTCAGTACAAACAATTATTTTTATTTCGTGGGTGACATTCGCTGGATTCCGAAATTAATTTCGATTATTCCCAAATTTATTTATTTATAAAAAATTTTATCGTACAAAAATTTCGTCGCTTAAATTGCGTAAAAAAAATCGCCGAAAACAATTATAGTAATGAAAACTTGGGAATCCAATATTTCAGGATTGTGGGGTCTGGATCCGAACCTGAATGTTTTGAATTTGCTCACGGAGTCGGCCTGATTCCAAAATGGTATAATATGCTGGGCTACGGCCTCTAGGAGTAAAATTGCAAAAGTCTGACACAGTGACACACTGACATTCGTATTTATTATATAGATGTTAGAACAGATGGCCGTTCAAGTCCAGACACTGCTGACAATACGGACCATTAGAATTACAAACATTACAAATCACTTCATTTTTGGTATTTCGATACATTCTCTTTCAGTGACTGTTTTAATCTTATTTATTGTTTCCAGGAGAGTGGCCCTTTGTGGCTTCTCTGGCTAACGTTCTCAGCTGACAGGAAGTAGCAAGACTCTACTGAATCCATTGCTAAGTCAGCTGCCAAGAAAGTTGGTTCACTGTGTCGTGCGAGACGATTTTTCTCTCCAGAATCTATCTTACATATCTATAAGTCTACCATCCGCCCATGCTTAGAATATTGCTGCCGCATATGGTCTGGTGCCCCCTGCTGTCTATCTTGAGCTCCTTGATAAAATCCAAAGAAAAATTAGTGATATTATTGGTCCTGAGCTGACGGCTTGTCTTCAGCCACTTTCCCATCACTATTTTAAGATCCCATAAGTCTATTATTCGTCTATGCTGAGAATATTGCTGCCACATATGGTTTGGTGCTCCCTCTATATATCTAGAGATCCTTGATAAAATCCAAAGAAAAGAATCAGCAATATTATTGGTCCTGATCTGGTGTCTCGGCTTCAGTCATTTTCCCGCCTCCGTAAAGTTGCCTCACTGTGACTTTTCTATGGATTCTTTCATAGTAATTGTTCGGATGAAGTCTTCGCTATGGTATCTAGACTTTGTGAATTTAAGTGCAATACTAGACTGGTGACGAGGTCACACCAATTTACAGTCGGGTTGGTTAGGATGTAACCGTAAGTTCTATGCTAACAGTTTCTTCTTTCTTTTTTTTTTTTTTTCACACACTTCTCGCTTGTAGAACTCTCTTCCGGATCCCAGCTTTCCCGCCAACTGTAATCTTCAAAAAGTTAAATGCAATGCCAATCGTTATCTACTCTCCTCCTGATTACCATTTTTGTTTTCTCTCTTTAGTAATGTTACTGTTTTCTAATTCTTCCACACCCAGTAACTCCTGTTGTATTAGTGTCTTACTACCTTGCTTGAGGTGATACCGATTTGAAAAAAAAAAGAAATCTATTGTGCAATAAACATTATTTTTTAAAAATGATCCTGTAAGGAAAAATACCTCTTTGCGCAAAGTCTGGTAAACGCAGGTTGTGCGTGTCGGGGTGTATACAATGCTATCTCTTCACAGAAGCCATCTGATCGATAGAGTTTCATCAAGATAGGCCCTCACGGTTCGGTTCATCTTAAATGAGGCATGAATGAAACTTTTCCAATGGACGCGTTTCAAAATATGATTTTCAAATGCCTATCCTACAAGTCGGACAGGTTTCTTTAGAGATTTAGAAGAAGATTCTACCAGTTATTTATCGTTTTGCGACACTCAAGAATGTCCGCTTTCTTCCAAAGCAATGTTTGTGGACATCCCGGACAGTTGTTATCTTAATGCGAGCAGAGGTGAGTCGCGTGCGTGGATCTGTTTGAAACGAACTTATTCTTTCCACTTCGCTTATGCTTTCAACACTTCCAGTCACAGTTAATATAAAGATATATATATATATATATAAAGATAAACAAGAAAGAAAAAAAAGAAAAACGTAAGATATTTAGGGAGTTATGAGCTGTAAAAGTGTGTATAGATTTTTTATACATATGGCCTTTTTTCGTCGATGGCAACGACGGAAAATATCTGAAAATCACAACACCGCCCATGGCTAAAACAATCAATGCGCGATCGGCACGGTTTTTGACAACAGCTACAGTAGTACAATACTGTGGGGTCATCCACCGTGGGACCCCCCCCACACACACACACACATATATATATATATAGAGAGAGAGAGAATTAATATATATATATATATATATATATATATATAGAGAGAGAGAGAGAGAGAGAGAGAGAATTAATATAAATCTAAAAATTTTCAGTTAGGGTTAGGCATCCCGACTCTAGAGTTTCATAGACGGACACACCAGCAATCGCTCTGTCCACTCGGCACTCGCCATTCGATGCCAGCTATTGACTGTTCATTTTCTCGTCACTTTTGTAGTGAATTTTAAAATAATTTACATATATATATATATATATATATATATATATATATATATATATATCCCGTCGTTTTTTACGGATGAGGGTACAACAACTCAATTCCTAGAACCGAACAGCCAGTACTATCCACATATGATTTGATAGTGATGAAAGCTTGTGTAGAACCAACCACACTATTCGGGAGAGCTGAATACAGAGAACTGGAGCACATAGTTTTCACAAAGTTTCCAAACTAGTCTCCTCAAGTTTTGAATTCAAAAAGGTCCTTCTCAACCAAGGATCCAGTTTGTCCTACTATTTACCCATAACTGGGAGGAGGGAAGGGATGGATTCATGCCTTTTCCGAAGGTATTTGCCCGTAACTGAATCTCACGAACAAAAACATGAGTCTTCAATCCGAGCCGCTATCCATTACTTTGTTTGTATACATACATACATACATACATACATACATATATATATATATATATATATATATATATGAAGAAAATATGGAGAAACAAAAATCTGAATATGCAAGTATGCTGTTTAAATGTTGTTTCAATGTCGACGTCAGACGTTTCGGTATAGTAGACCTTCTTCAGCACATAGTTATTAAAACATAATCAAAATTAGACGATATTCAAGTCAACATGAAAAGACGATAGACATAAGACTAATCAAAACAGAATAACTGAAATTTTTAAGATCAGTGTTCCGTTTCGCAATACGATCACGTCGGCGTCACGTCGGCGATGTTGTGAAAACGTATTCCTAAAATAGAGTATATTTTAAATGAAAATGAATTTTGTTTTAATCTAAAATTTATAAGTACGTTTGTCGAGCATTAAT